AAATAAGAAAGATTCGGAAGAAAAGAAATGGGTGCCGTATGAATTGATTGAAGAGAACAAAGTGCGCCGGTACGACATCGCACTGTCTTTGTTAAGTCGGTTCAAATAGAAGAATTTTTTTGCACCAAATTATCACGGATGATAAAAAACGAATCCTATACAACCTCAAGCTACAAAAAATCATTAGATAAAAATCACTATAGATCTTGTAAATCTTGGCTAACTGATAACATCCACTGCAAAGTCTAATATCCACGCCAAGAAAATTTTGCTTCGTATCTGATGGGACTGAAAAAGTATGAAACACGGCAAACCGCTACCAACAGCAACTCATCAATTTGAATAATGCATTGGAAAAGAGGCCAGTTACTGGGCAAGGAAGCCGCAAAGTCATCCTACTGCATGGTAACGCACGTCCATATGCTGTTGAGGCGATGAAGTAGATCATCTTCGCTGGGAACTTCTTCCGCACACGGCGTATTCACCAGACATAGCCCCTTTCGATTACCGCCTATTTCAAGCGATGCAGCATCACTTGACTGATGCACACTTTGGAACAAAAGAAGTCGGAAAAAAGCACCGATAATTTTATCGCTTCAAGTTCAGTGCACTTTTATCATCTAAGAATCCGCAAGCTGCCCGAAATATGGCAGAAGGTCATCGACAATAACGGAGTATATTTCGATGATTGAACTCTTTTTGTTTGTTTTCAAACAAATATTGAATTTTACCGAAAAACTAAGAACTTTCTACTACTAATAGCGACAAATACTAAATATTCTTTTCTCAATGCACCGAAGTATGTCAAGCAATTGTAACACTTTGACAGCTTAACGTTTGCGTCAATAAGGAGAGTTATCTGTTCTGACGTTTAAAAAATAGAGAATTTTATATATATATATATATATATATATATATATATATATATATATATATATATATATATAAATCTCATATAATTCTACATATATAAAATTCTCTATTTCTTATATATAGGATGTCCCAGACTGCAATTTTTGTGGAAGCGTAGAATGAATTGAGATGAACATACCATACCGTTTTACGATATTCGCAATAAATCTCAAGATATTAATTAAAGAAGATTAGTGAACGATTACGTACGAATTAGAAAAGACTTGTGCATTATCGTGTACAATCAACAGTTTTTTTTCGTTAATAACTAAAGATCTACGCGGTTATTTGTAAAATGTTAAAACACTTTTTGTTTAATTTGACTTAATAAACAAGCACACAATAACACACATCGCCACTACAAGTCATTATGTCGCGCATGATTATTCACTAATCTTCTTTAATTACTATCTAGATTATTATTGCGAATATCGCGAAACGATATAGCACTTTCATGTTCACCTCAATCCGTTCTACGTTCCCACAAAAATTGTACGGAAGAGTCTGGAACATCCTAAATCATAGTGCATCCTGTATCATAATGTATTTTAACGCAGCTGTGCAGCATTTCTGGGTTCTTGTTATCCTCATTAGCTAGCTTCAAGACATATTTAAGTTTAATTGTATCACTTTTCTGTTGGTTACACGTAACACCCGGGAGCAGGTAACCGTCCTCTGATGTAAACGAGACGTCAAGCTGTCAAAATGTCACAGCTACTTGGCTTATTCGCTGCCGCTTCTCCAAATAATCAACAGTCACGACGGCATGATTATCTGGAATATAAGCGCCTGAGAGAAAATTTCTAGTAACTCTCGCGATCTAAAGAACAGCCAAGCCGTACCTAAAATTGAATGTACACCAGTAATGCGTTTGGTAAATCCCGGAGAGAAGAACGTAATAAAGCCGCGAGTATTTCGCCACACGCGGGATTGAAGGGCGCGGAAAATTCTCTTAATTAAATTGACGTAAATAACACTGTGTCACGCGTATACCGCGTTAATTGAGAGGGCAAATTTAACGTTTGCACTCGGAGCTTCGGTAATCGCTCGCGCTCTCGTTCGTCGAACCACGAGCTGCCCACGGCGAGAGGCATTGCGCCGCGATTTCACGCCGCGAGTAGCTCGAACTTTGTTGTTGAGAATTGCGCGTGGACATTAAAACTCGCGACACGTGGCAAAGCGTGCTTCGCCGTACTTGGGCGCGATCTCAGGGTGTCAACAAGGCGGCACTGTGTGTTCCGTCGCGCTAATAAAAGACGTCTTTTGATTTCACTCACGTTCTTTCTCCCTTACTATCCTTGTACGTCGAACTCCGCAGTCCGTTTCTATTTGCGAATGTAATAATCCCAGCCGGTCACCAACCCATAAAGTCTCTCCTTTCTCGCGGACGTTGGAAACGAATCGCGAGCTCTCTGCGTTATTCATTCGACGCCAGGGCAAAGACTCACGCTCGACCGCACCCGTAAATTATTTCCGGGCGAAACCAAGTAGTTGAAATACGTACAACTCGCATGAAATCCCATTTTCTCTATCAAATACGTGCCCACGCGATCCCCACCCCGCAAATAACTGTCGGTAACTGGTTTTCAAATGTCCCTCTCCCCGGCCGCGCGATAAGGTACGCCGCGCGCGGCTGATATCATCTCAATTAGCAGGCGTCGTGCGAAAAAGTGTCGACAAAGCGACCAAATCGAGAATTAACCGTAGGCCAGCGAACGATGGTTCAACGCGATCCACGAAATGATACGAGATATACGTTGAACGTAAGATTGCCGTCTATCATTCCGCAGGGAGGACTAGCCGCAGTCGTTCGTCGATAATATCGGTGATAAAGTGTGCAAAAGCACAGACGAGGGGGCAGGGAGGAGTATATACCGAAAGAAAATGATGGTTGCTTCGAGGAAATGCTCGGGAATCTCTCGGAAACTTTAGAACGGTCCGAGTGTGTGGAAGGCGCCAGGTCAACTGGCACGAATGCACTCTGGACTTTTGGGGTCGCCGGCACGTTTTCATCCGGGAACTCAAATCCTCAAAGCGGCATACCGCGAGCGCCGTCAGAGTTTCATGGCAATAAAGAGAGCGGGCGGTGAAAAGAGACGTGCCGTACCCCATGTCGCGGTGCGCTGCCCCGTACAGGTGGAAAGAGAAGAACAGAGAATGAAACATACATGCCCCCTCGGAAGGGAGTAGGAATTGTCCAAAGCTTTCCGTAGCAGCTGCAAAGTACGATTGTCCGTGCAGAAAGGATTATCGTAGCGAGCTATCGACAAAGGAAATTCGATTATTCTCGAGTGACGGTTTCTATGTGCCGCGAACCCGTAATATCGCGGACGCCTATAATAGAGAAAGGAAAAGCGAAAGACCCTCTGCAGAGTAGATCGTTAAATGAGATAGAAATTTGCACTCCTTTCTCTCCTCATTTCTCTCTCCCCCTTCCTCTCTCCCCGTCGTTGCGTACGTACAGGCTCGCATTAAATAGAAGTATAATACATCACACATGCAATATGTGGTAGACAACTTTCGCCTTAAACGGCTGACACATAAATCTTCGCTTATCCTTTCAAGCCCCGTGTGTCAGCGTAAACGGCGCGCACATCTTTTCGTGCGTATATGTGCATAAACCCACTCCGTGCGAATCGAGTGACGGCAACAATGAGAAATGCCGGCTATCGCCCCGCGCGATATAAAGCGGTCTTGCGCGTCAGTGGCGATCCGGATCGTTAAAGTCTCGTCTTCCCAAGACGAGTGCGGTTCGCGGCGCGGCGCGGCGCCGGCGTCCTCGCCCACCCCGGGATTATGGATGCGTTCCACTTCCGATAACGCGCGAAACGTGGAGGCGTTATGCTCTCGCGAGCTACGCCCGGCTCCCTTTTCCTCCCTATCGCCCACCTCCCCTCTTCCCAGTCCCTTCCGCGGCCGCACACATCTCGTCGAAGTTGGCAACAGCATCTGGAGCGTTAAGGGTGGATGAGCGATGTGCCGGTGTCTTGTGGCGTGATGGATCGTCCAATACCAGCCAATATGCAGTATTGCACGTGGAGTGGCAAACTGGTATCCATGCATCAAATCGGCGGCAGCGGCGGCCTGGGTGGTAGACGAACCGGCGGGGCGTGCGAGGCGGGAGGGAGCGCGAGGGTGGAAGTTTCGTGTGCTCTGCACGACACGCTACGCCACCGCACACTATCGTATGCTCGGTCGCGTCCGTCGTGGTCAGAGAATGGTTCTTGCCGATCCGTCCTTCGTGGTACGACCATAAGGTGCATCTCCGACTGCATGGGATACCTATATACACTCACGTATGCACACACATGCGCGCATATGTATGTGTATATATACACGAGTCGTGATGTCCCGGTAAGAACGAAGAGAAAGAGAGAGAGGGGGGGGGGG